ATCTAGCTGCAGGCACAGCCACCATTACTTCCATARCCAAACCTAGTTTTGTTGGACCTTGTATACTAAAAGCAACAGCTTCAGTCTAATTACTTGTTCTTCCCTGTATAAGTGACACTGTCTGACTTTGTCCGTTTTGCCCAGGGCACAGTTGCTGCGGCTTCCTTACTACAGAATCAGCAGTAAAAGAAGGCTGAATAACTGACAGGGAAACGTTATTGCTCAAGCAAGTAGTGAGGAACACGTGCTGATTTGTGTGGTCTCTGGATAGTAGTTGTCTAATAAAGTCTAACTTAAGAGCACAAGATAATAGCAAAAAGGAGATACTAAACAGCTCCTTGGCAGGGGCTTGATGACCGTCCACAGCAGGAATTGGCAAACTGGAGGGTGAATGGTGTGGAAGGAGTAGAATTTGGCATCCAGCTGATGAATTAACTGATACATTAATCTCTGCATCAGAGTTCCTGCCTAGAAGAACAAATTTGCTTTTGAATTTGCATTCTTAAGAGCCCCTGGCTTTTATAGAGTGATTGACCAGAGTGGCCTTCAAAACTTGAACTGCAAGACAAGGAAGCCTTTCCTTTGGCAGGTTCCTTGTAGCATGGGGACACGGCAGTGAAAACATCTTCAGTATTCACTTTTTCTTCCTTACTGGTGGTATTTGCATGAGTTATCCAACTTTAGTCTGTGGAGGAAAGGAGACCTCATGGCTGGGATGTCTCTGTCATTGACTAGATTTGGGTTCTACTTCTTGTTTTGTCAGACTCCTGATAACTTCTGAGAAATTCTTTAAGATCTCTCCGTGCTTCAGTGCTTTTTTTCCCCGCAAGGAAGTGGTAGTAAGCATCCTTCATAGAGGGCTGAGGTGGCAAATGCAGAAACTGTACAGAAACTGGATGATGCATAGGCCCCAGTGATGGGAGAGAGTGTTCCCAGGTAGGGCTGAGGATGCAATAGTACCGGCTATTAGTCTTAATTTCATTCTCTTCTTGGTGGTGGAAATACAGTAGCACAAAGTAGAAATAATTTCACGGTGATTCACAAAGATCTGTGCTACATATTAGGTGCACTTTGAAAATGACTTCCAGTTGCAAGTGGTTTATAAAGAAGGATTTTATTTTAATTTAAAACTTCTTCAGGTTSTTCAAATTCCTCCAAATGCGCTCAAGAAAAATCTCCTCCTTGCTGTCAAGCACGAATAAAATCTCAAGTAATTCCACATGCACAGACTACATATTTTTGGAAACTTCTCATAGAGAATACTGCATTCTTTACATATTCCTTTATGTGTTAGAACTGTGAAACATACGTTTGGATTTCATGCTTCAATTCAGATGAAACAAGTCTTGCAAGGACTGGTAGTATAATGGCAGAAGCCCAGATATATTGTGGCTTGTACTGTCCTAACTRTACAAAGCCTTAAAATGTGACTTGGATTAAAGACTGCCTCTTCCTGTGTACTTAAAACGTACCTCTCTGTATTCTTACTGAAAGCTATTGATGCTGTTATTAATTCTCAGTTGTCGAAAATAGGGAGGTTTTATAGGAAAAGTACTGGGATACTGTGAGAGAGATGCAGAAATACTGAGATAGTCGTAATTACAGAAATATCTCTAAATATTAACATATTTAATTAAAATTCATGTCACTTATAGCCATATTGTGAGAGTATACGCTGATAGTTACAATTCTGAGCATGCAATTTAAGAGACGTATCTGAATATGACTTATCAGATGACTTGTGATGTTCTAAAAACAAACTAGAGCCTGCAAATTCCTGGTCTACCACAAATGAATTAGAACCATTTAACTTCTAATTATACAGCCTACAACCAGGTAGTTCTTAATTGATGATATGCTTTTGATATGTTTGCACATGCCTGTCCAATAATTAAAACTGTTCTAGATGTTAGTGATTAACTTGTTAGGAGCGTGGGATTTGTGGAAGCAAATCAAATGTTGCTCAATGTGTTTTAATTTGAAAGAGAGAGCCATTAGCTGTCATGTATAATGTCTCAGTAATCTACAGTATGCGCGTGTGTTCACAATGTAGAGAAGTGAACGTAACCGTTTGCTTTTTAAGGAAAGCTGGCTCCTTGGTTGGCATTTGTTTCCTTCTAAATAATGCTTTAAGGCTTCTAGGTGTTATTATCCCACTCTAAAGCAAGAGAGAATTTGGTTACAAGAATASGAATTGATATTATATTTGAAGAACAGAAATGAATATATTCTGTTAAATTTGAAGTTTATCTTCTCAGTTTTGTCAAGATCATTAGGGAATACCTTTTATCAGAACTTCAGTTTTTAATTGTTTAGATTAAGCATTCAGTTTTAAGAAAATTTACGGTTTAGTTCCATTTACATTTTGCACATTTTGAGGTTTTTTGTTCTAGCCTCTCTTTTTGCAGCATTAAAACACTCAGCTAACCTGCCAGCATCATCTAGCACTGTGTGYTGCAGGGTTGTATCTGAGCACCGTGTTAGCCTGGAGGCTGCTGTCATGCTGGTACCACCAACGTAGCCCCTCTTGTTCAGGAGCAGAAACAGCTTTGGGATGAGTTCTGAAGCTGCCACAAGGAATTCATCTGTCCTAAAGACAAAAGCAATAGTTTTCACTGCTATCTTGTAAAGGCACTATTATCCTTCCTTGTAAAAACAACTCAAAATTGTGCTGTTACGGGGTTTGTCTCAAGTTTGTTGTGACTTGCAGCGCTAGGCTGTGTCACTGGAGGCCTTGTTTGGGCTGAGGATGCTGCACAATAGCCAGCCTGCGAGCAGAGGACAAAAGCATCACMGGAAAATGCTCGGAATGAGCCAACCAACCAGGCTGCTCGGGAAAGGGGGAAGTAAGAGATGGAAGAAGCTAAGCTGATCTCCAGTGTTACAGATAATGCAATATGAAAGAATTAATACAGTGGGGAAAACAGATCTGAGAGAGAACCAGAAGTTTGCTTGGARCTATTTTTTTTTTCCTCTTCCCTACCAGGCTTAATTTAAGGTGCAGGTGTGTGAACAGGAGTGAGGCCTCCTCCACAGCTAGAAGACAAAATTAGAGCCAGCTGGTTTGTCTCAGTTTAGCTTTTGCTGCTGCTTGAGCTACACGTTCTAATAGGAATTAAACTGCTCTGCAGGTCAGTCTTGGGATTGCTCTCATGTGAATGAAGCTAATCCAGTGTTATATGGATTGGATTATGTAATATGTGATATTTTTTCCAAATTTCCTGTAGTAGTCTGATGCAATGGAAAGCATTAGCAGTGGAAGAAAAGGATCTGTACAGCAGAGATGATACGAATAGTTCACTATACTGTGTTTAAACCTTTGCTATTTACCTTTTTTTTTTGTTCCCTGTGTAGCCATTAAAAATGTATCTAATTCTATTTGGACTATGTGATCTGTACTCATCTATACGTAAGCATATAGTTTATGGTGCATAATCCTTAGGTTTCGCTGTGAATCTGCATGAGGCAATGTAAGAGTATATTTGTTGTACTTTTTTTTTTTCATGCTAGGCCAATGTATTAGGAAATGTTGGAATTTCCACTGTGCAGGAGTAGGTAAATAGTTAAGAGAAGCTTTAGTTGTAGTTTATTGCATCAGCGTGAAAGTTGATGTCTAATATTTCTTTAAAAGCAATCATTCAAGGTGGATGAAAGCAACTTCTGTTTGTTTTGCAGTTGGCAAGAACAGTTTGTGGTTGTCAGCCCACAGAAACTTTGTGCAGAATTATTCTCTTTAGATCAAAAATGCAACCTTAATGTATTCCGGTGGTAAATTCTACATAAAGTACAAGCATCTTAGTGACTTGCTCTTTCACTGAGCAACCAAATGAGCTTTCCAATCTTTCCAAATCTCTGGCTTCCCTGAAGCTGTGTCTTAATAGTGTTGTGCTTCTGAACAGAAAAGAAGCAACAGCAACGCGGGGCCGTTTGCTAAGGAGCACAAAGGGTTTTGTAAGGCTTGTATATTCTTTCTGTAAGAAGCAGCAGTGTAAAGAGAGGTCACCGTGCAGGTAAGCTTTGTAAGCGCAGTGCAATAAACAGATTAATAACTAATGCCAGGGAGAGCGGGGAGATCTCAGTTACGTTAAACCTTGCAGCGAGTGGAGAATTTGTGAATTGGAGCATTATCCCTTTTGAAATGCCTTTTTGTACAAATTGTCTTATCACATCAAAAGTGACCGGTGAAGGAGTCTTTTCTTAAARAAAAGAACTTGGAGAAAAGTGTGTCGTGCTACATGCAAAGCTTTTTCACTTGACTTTGCAAAGGCGAGGAAGAACTGTGGGGGAAAAGCAGTGGCCAAGGGGAAACAGAAAGAAGCTGAAGGCCAGTGAGTAATTGCGAGTATCAGCCACAGTTCAGTTTCGTGGCACTCGGGTTGTGAGTAATATCATAACTTACTAATAAAGAAGCCCAAACTGTGAAGCCTAAACCCTTTTTCAGAGAAAGGAGTGGGTTTATRTTGTCAGCTCCTTCAGTGCACACATTGCAGGCAGGGCTTCCACCAGCCCTGCGATGGCTTCTGCAAGAGCCGCTGACGCCTCCTCTTCCTCTTTGAGCTCTTTGAGTGCTGAGCACAGAGGAGCGAAACTCTTGGCAGAACAGCATGAACAAGGTTAAAATAAGAGAGCAGGAGACACAGCAGGCATGAGAATGACTCCTTCCATTGAAGATACACTGCTCTCTGCTCTAAAGCACTATTATGGTGTCTCTGACCTTGGAAAGTTTTTGGAGAAGGTTTCTATTTATTCTAAGGGCAAATTTTGATTCCTTGGTCTGTGCTGTTATTACCTTCAAGCTTGGCTTAGCTTGTGTTCTTCCGCTTGGGAAAAGTGTGCAGAGATCAACCCACAAATTATCCTAACTAGAAATCTTACTGGTGCCTCTCTGAGCTGCCTTAGGCTGAATGACTATGGTAACAGGTCTTGGAGATTATTTCTGCCATATCTTTGTAGATTGCCTCATTAAAAATAAGTAGTTTTGTTAATTATGTGGGGTTTTTTTTGATGTCACCAGCTCCTAATCTGAGTATGGATGTGTAAGGGTAAGTAATAACTTAAATTTTTGGAAAACTGTCTCATGTTCTTATTTGTGGACATGTTAATTCATGCACTACAAAGAAATGTTTGTGTTGAGCAGTTTTGCAGTGGAATCTGTATTCATGGTGAGCTGAAGAAATCATCCTAAGCTGCCTTGAATGCTGAGAAGGAAACCAGATTGTTTCAGAAGCTGCAGAGGTGGACTTGAACATTACCATGGCAAATTCTGTGGGAGGGAAATGTGCATTAATGTAATAAAAATAAGTTGCACATGTAGGGAATAAATATAACATGAAAACGTGCAAACAAACTGTAAGGATAAGACAGCACGAAGCTCTTCGAGCCTGCTGAAGCCGAGAGACAGCGCGTGCTGTTTTAGGGAGGTCTGTGAGCTTCCCATCTGGTGAGTGACCAGACACAACAGGAGAACCATCTGCCTTCCAGCTGGTCTGTGAGGAGGTGCCGACTGGGAGGCCTGTGTGTTCGGTGGTGGAGAAGGAGCCTGTCAGCCCCTGCAACCCGAACAGGAGATGAGGGTACCAGGAAGAGGTGGGAAGAAAAGAAAAGAGGATAATGTGGAGGGTCACTCTGTGCGTCCTCGGAAATGTAGTGTTATCTACGTGTTGTTTATGTCAGGGTGCATCCTTGTTCTGGGTGCCCTGAGCAAGGACTCATGCCATAAAAGCAGTACTCAGCCGAACTACATCATCTTGCATCCACTCRTCTAACCTGTGGTAGTTAATGAGTGGAAATCGGCGTGAAAGAAAATGCCAGAAATCTCAAACTAGAATCCAAACTTCTGCTTTCCTAAGAGCACGTGCAAAAAATTGCTAAAAGAAATAGGGTCTGAAATGTGTTACAGAAAGAGATTATTAGCAGCCAGGCAGACAATAAGTGCTGTAGTGGAACAAGACAAAAGTGTCATATTGCAAATTTTACACAATTCACTTGCACAGTTCACTTTAAAAGCAGATATGCCTGTTGAGGATAGAATTCATTATTGCATTYTGCAATGCTTATGGACTTGGGAATACCTGCTTTAAACCTTTTTGAAAACATTTAGGTTTAGATAATGTTTAGATAACAATCCTTACCATTTGCCTCTCCTAACCTTAATTTTAAGGACTGGGACTGGGATTTTTTGTTTGTTTTCATAATGAGTCATTAAATCATAAGAACCATAGGATTGCTGTGAAAATGGGTGCATTCTGTTTACTTTCTGGCAAGGGAGGGGAAGGGAAGAGGAGAATGTCTAGTCAGTCCAAAGGTGCCCTGAAAAAGATGCAGCCCTAAATCTTGCTAGAGACAGAGCCAGTTCAGTTCTTAATGAGTTATACTAAGAACTGTGTGGGTCCTTTGACAGCCTTTCTTGGCAGGGACCAAGGGTATTACCTAAGGGCAAGGATAGAAATAGAAATTAGGTTTTATTTTTAGCTCCAGTCCCGTCAGGGCATATTGGAAACCTGATCAGTGAAGGGAAGTGCCGTCATAGTCGGTGCAAAGGGGGTATCATCATATTTGTGTTTCTAGCTGCATTACAAGCTTGAGATATATTTGAAAGAAATGGGATTGTTTGTTTTATCTGGCATCTTGCCTCAAGTAGTTGGTGCTCTGCTTGGTCTGGTTTGTTCATGATCTACTTGACCAGATATCTAGTGTTAAATGGCAATGAATGTTCCGTAGGAAAACTGCTTCTCAGATCATGTGATTATTTCATGTTCCAAACAGCCCTATTTTATAGTGCATGAATGCAGATGTTATTACTGGCCTGTGCTAGCTTTAGCTTAAGTATTTAAATGTAGACTGACTGTACAGTAAGCACATATATTGAGCTGATCACACATGATAGTTTTGCAACCTCTAGTAACTGCTGAGGGTGGAAGCTCAGAGGAGAAATKAAATTTATCTCTAAGATACTTAGAGATATAACAGCAAAATAAAAACAGGGTATTTTGTAAACATTGCACAGTGCAATACCATGTAATTTAATTTTCTCTTGAAGCAGAAGATTGTTGGTTTTGAACAATCACAAATTTCTCTTTTACCATAAAAAAACGGAAAGGTTGTTAAACTTTTCTGTTGATCTGAGACCTGTGAACTTGTGAAGTTCAGTCACATTATCAGGAATGCATTCACTGGGGTGGCTGTACCCTTTTTARTAGTCGTTTGTTTAAATCCCTAGTTCACCTTTAATTCTGATATTCTGTGGTACTGGAATTAAATGGATTACTTCCATGTAGCATGAAGATGCGCTGCAGGTGCCTTGAAATCTGCTTCTTTCAACTGTGTGAGCACGTTGCTCCTATTCGAATTCTGGGGCACTGAAGCAGTGAACAGAAATATTTTAACTGWCATCCAGAATTCTTTTGCTAAGAAGACTTTTTTTCACCTCTATGTCCTTTGCAAATTGTAGTGTTTCTCTGACCTACATTGCTGATTTTCTATAGGATCTCAGGTAATTCTTTTCAACCTTAGTTATATTTTTAAGATGAACTAATTGCCTTGCAGGTATGACACACTTTTTAAATGGAGCCTTCCTCAACATGAAAGTCTTTGTGTCTTTTTTTCTTTCTTTCTTTTTAAAGGGATAAATACCTAGTACCATAAATCCATAGCAACTGGCTTATTCATCAAGATTTCTCTTGTGTTATATATGTACTATAAAATGTAGTGTTTTGTAGAATAGCAGTATATTTCTGTAGTATTTCTCTAGAATACTTCTGCAAGTAAAATAAGATTCATTTCTTAACATCCTTCTCTTTATTCCATCGTGCTGCTTTCAGCCTTGGTGGCTCTGAGCTGGCTCCATCTACCTGCACCTTCCAGTCCTTTCTCACCCACACTCGCATGGGGGCTGAAAAGATGCATTTGCATTTCTGCATTTGTCCTAATTTTAAATTGTATTTAAAGTTGCTGAGATTCTTTTAGCATTTTTGTTCTGCAAAGGTCTCCTTGGACCTAAATGCCCTGGTAATATGTTCTTGTTCTCAGAAAACCCCACAATAGATGGTGTTTATTTACTGCGGTGTTTTCAAGCCCSGGTGGGTTCAGGATATGTGACTGTGCAAACTTTGTGCTCTGGTTGATGTTCTGAGCATTTTTGTCCGTGTGGCACATACAAAATCAGCTTTTTGATTGACGTTTTATGCACACAGTGAGGTTGTAATGCACCCTCCTGTTTCTCAACGTAGCCACTTGGTAATCTCACCATGTCGCAGCCTATCTGGTCTCCTATTTGTTTGTGAAGAGCCCCGGAGATGTAATGGAGAGCACTGAGGAAGATTTTTGTTTGGGGCTGCAATGAAAAATTAATTCAAGACATGGCAACAGCTGCGGGTGACAATTCAGAGTTGCTGAATGAGTATTGTAATCAGCATTTATCACTGCCATCACATGGGATTAAACACTTGGAGGTGATTGTTCTTGGGCACAGCCTTAGGGAGGATTATTACCATGACAGAACTAGTTGTCATGGAAATACATGAAGAGGAGAGAGACTCTTCCTTCTTCCTTTGCATTCTGTGCTACCCTATTAAAGGAAAGCCTGAGATCCTCCACAGAGCTCTCAACTTTTTCTTAAATATAACACCAAATTCTACTGTTCATCCCTCATGTTATGCTTAAAATCACAGAATACTGTATGTTACTTTTTAGGATTGCCTTTTCTGTTTAAAACAGGTGTTAACATTTTTCTTTAATTACTATAGTTTATTGCTAATGCTAATTAATAATAAACTGCAGTTTCTAGAGTTTTGTTTCCTTGTTTGTAAGACAAGTAGTTCTAAATTTAGTCACATAATAAAAGATTCTTCAGCCTTAAGTAGATTCCCATCTTTCTTTCATGAGATGTAGATCATTTTTCTCAATGCGGAATGCCTCTTTCTCACAGTTGCTGCAGCCCAAGCCATAGCAGAAGAAAGAAGAAGCCAAAGTGGTGTTAGCCCTGTTGCAGTCCAGACCTCAATAAACATAAAGACAGCAACGAAACCAGGTATAATTATTGGTCATTGTTTTTTAWTGAAGTACTGGGTTCACTAGAGAGAGTCAATGGGAATGAATAAAACATGTTTTAAAAGCAGTTTCATGCTCTTTCTTYAGACAAGATCAGAATGTAAGGCACTTGGCCTGCTCCTTAGATTTGTTAAAGGTCTAGTTGTGATGACAAGTTGTGGTCTTGACTCGCTCAGAGTTCGTTTGCTAAAGTTGCCTATCTTTTCTGCAGGGCAGAACGGCGAAGGTGATTTGTGTGTGTGTGTGCTGTGCTAGTTACCAGTTTGTTTCTGCCTGAAATTCAAGTTTTTATAACTACAAAGGCTCAATAATTTCTAGTTCTGCTTAGCCAGCAGAGTAGCCTGTCCTAAAGCACTTTAAATTTGTCCTGACAGTTAAACTACCTGTTCCCATATTTAATTTTCCTGGTTTCCTGTCTTTCTTGGTCATAGGAGTTAATGTACATGAGAATAAGGACCAGAACTAAAACTGGAATAAGTGTGCAGCCTAGAATCATCATGGTTGGAAAAGACCTTCCAGATAATTGAGTCCAACATGACTGACTTCTGGTCAGATCTTTTTTTGGTGCATACATAGGGCCTTTTATCCTTGTGTCTAGTTCTATTGCTGTTATTAAAGATACTGGATCAGTTGTTGTGAGGGAATGGAAATGGGGAAGAAAGGGTAGTCAACCTCTTCCAGATTTTATGGATGACGTCTTTAATCTCTGTATAAAGTATGCAACACTTCCATCTTAGGTATCTCGCTCAGGATGTTCCACAATCTTTTCAATAGTTCAGACTTAGAACTACTTTATTTATCTAAGTTTGGATGTTTAAAATAACTGACAATTACCTGTCTTTAATTTTTTTTTTTTTTTTAACAGTGATAGATGGTTCCATTCTAAGAACAGAAGAAAGACAAAGACTAGCGAGGGAGCGCAGAGAAGAACGGGAAAAGCAAAACGGTAATTTCATTTTGTATTATAAATGTAATTTCCTAAAATACTTTATTATGCCTTATTCTCTTAATCCCTGTTCTGTCATTTTTTTTCATCCTGATAGGGCAAACAATAGGATCTGCTATTTGTCTGTCTTTAGTGATTATCTGTGAAACTGAATGAAGAAGTATTAGGTTTGAGAGGAGAATATTCCAGGGGTTCTTAGTTTCTTGAATCTGTATGTGGCTGTCTTTCATTTCTTAGAGACTGCCGAGCAAATTTGTCCCATCTCTCACTGACTCCCTTTACAAAAACACTTCTGAAATAGTACCTCTGAGCTTAGAATCAAAGACCTGGAGTATAGAGCTCTTGCTTAGCTTTATGACATGAACCTTGGTGCACATATATGCAGCAAGGGTCGTCATGTGCCCTGAAGTCCTGGTCCTCAGTCTCCCCACTTGTGAGGAGACYCCATCCGCCCAACATGTCTGGGTTTCCTAAGATATGTGCAGGGTCACGTAGGAAGCGGGGTGATTTTCTTATCCTAAGGCAGAGAAAGGATACGACTTGGACATTATCTAGATTAAGAAGTCCTTTTAGGTCTTTTGTGTAGATAGTGCCTATGCATGTTAATATAATAGTSTAGTCCTCAGTGCATTTATTCTGTCTAGCCACAGAACAGGTCTCTGCCATGTATTTAACTACTAGCATTTTGTCACAGGAGTTGAAGCTTCCTGTTAAACTGTGCACAGCTGTTTTTAGGTGGAAGCTGTGGAGAATAGCACCATAATTATTCTGAACTCGGATGTGATATTCCATTTTCTGTTGTGTTATTCCATTTTCTTACTCAGTGTTTATATCTTTTTATTGTATCTTATTTTTTAAAAAATGAGAAACAACATGGAAAATTTTGTCCTTTGATACTCAATTTACTATTAAGATTCCGCTATTATGATGGCAGGAAAAGTGTGTGCATAATAAAGCATGTATGCCTATCTTGACATTCCTGTCTAGTCAGTAAAGTTTAAGAGTAGAAGAGTTTCAAATTCATGCCCATTCTAGGAACAGAAATAGACAACTCTGTAGTCAAATGCAATGTTATGCAAGACTGCAAACAAATTTTGCTGTATGTGTTACCTTTATGTGGTGATAAAGTCTCTTGTATGCTACTTTGTAATACTGATGAAAAGTTAAGTTTGATTTTTAATTTCTCTTAAAAATTTACAGCTGCCAAAGAGACACAGATCCTTGAAAAGGAAAGAAAGGCAAAACTTCAATATGAAAAGCAACTGGAAGAAAGGCAGAGAAAGCTAAAAGAACAGAAGCAGAAGGAGGAACAACGGAGGGCTGCAGTAGAAGAAAAGAGAAAGCAAAAAATAGAGGAGGAAAAGGTAATGTGTGTCAAAGACATGTGGTTTTATAGCTACTCCTATACTGTGTTCTTACCATATCCTGAAGTGACGAAAAGGAGGATGATTACATTCATCCATCCTATTTTGGTTTGCTTGGAAAGTAGCAGGAATTCTCTGTGTGTCAGAACATAAGGATGYTTTACACAATTGTACAGTGGGCTTTATAGATCTGTGTCTTCTTTCCTCATCACAGTCGTAGTTTTAACTATACCAGAGGCACCTTGGATTTTAGGAGCATTAGTTGCTGTTTGGCCTTTGATAATTTTTAACATAAATGGGGGAAAATAAATAATAATTCCTAGATTTCTAAATTCCTTCCAGTGATGTTGCTCTGTAGAGTCTGTCTGTAAATTAGCATTGGTGAATGGGCTTAGATTTTCCCTGTGTCTTGCTCCATGGGAATGCAGTGGTGGCCAAAGAGCCTAATGTTTCAGTTTTTCTAATTCACTGTTCCTGGTATATTGACTGTTTTAACGTGACTGTCACTTTATCTTTCCTCTGACTGCACATTGACCAACAAAGCATTATTGAGTTATGGAACTTGTTGTTCAAAGATTCACGGAAGCTGAAAGCAGAAATAAATACATCAACTTGTCATCCCCTTTGGTGAATAAGTCTGCTAGTGGATTTAGGTTGGATGTAGATTCTGAGAGAATTGGTTTCTAGAAGCAGTGTATCAGTAGTAAAAACACCCCTGCATACTTGCTTTCTTAGCTTGCTATTAGCACTTGCTGTGGGTTATTGGTGAAGAGATGTGGATCTTCCCCTTGGAATCCAGCTATTGTTGGACTTCTAGGGAAAGGCACAGGGTCTTTTATACCCTGTTTGACTGGCCATATAGTGCATATTCACCAGTTCAGTCATCTCTAGTCAGCTTCTCAGTATGCCCAGTGTGACATTTGAACTTCACGGAATAGCTCCCATTGCTGAAGAAAGAACAGAAATGCTTGGGTGGGCCTTAAGTGTTTTCTGACACATTATCATCTCTTTAACTACTTGGAGCAAAACGATCCTTTTTGCTTCGAGAGATGTATTAACTTTAAGCCTGCAGTACATTATTTGTGCAGTTTCAAAGATGGTGGATATGCTTTTTAGTCACCATCTGGGTGAATGATCAAGAAAAACAAGGACTAGCCAGGGAGCATTTGATGGTGTTAACTTTGCCTTTACCTAATTCCTAGGGGAAGATCATGCTTGCACACAGTGCTGTGCACAAAGCTGTGCACAAAAATCTGTCAGGTAGAACATGCAGTGTGCACTTGACCTATAAACCTTGCTTTTAACCAGGAAGTGAAAGCAGATCTTGCTTTTCAGACAGTGACACTGGAGAACAGTTGCTTTTAAAGAAGCTGTCTTTGCCATCAAGATACCATCTGTGCTTGTAAACTTACCAGGTTTAAGTACGTGAACAAAATCAGTCTCCCAGAGTCTTGTATGGTACATTAGCTAATTCGCTTTCAGTTAATCACCTTCCTTAGATCATGTAGAATTGTATAGAATAATGTAAGAATTACAGTTGTGAAAAATGTGGGGAAAAATAAGTAGCTCCCTGGCTAAGTCTTGAAGGCAATTAGCCATGGCTAAGGTGGAGGTATCTGTCCACTCGCAATTATTCTGCTGTTCTGTACATCTTTGCAACTGACTCTTTTCTCTTGTTCTTGGAAGGAGATCTATGTCTTTAATTACAGCTTTCAGGAATTACCACACTGCACATATCTTCACAGAAATGTCACCTATAGATTACATAATGTCTGGGCGGTTTGGTATCTTAGGTAAAATCTAGCTGAACTTAATGTTTAAGGAAAAAAAAAGAGCTAAGCTTTATATTTCAACAGAACTCTTTAATTTCACCTTTTCACATGGTATGGAATGCTTCTTTCTTTCCAAGTTTGCTTTGTCTGTTTTACACAGGGACTTATTTAGTCCACATTTTGAAATGCTGTTGAAAGAAGATAAATCCTTCTGTCCTCAAGAGGGAGAACTGTTTGGATAATGAGTCCCCTCGGCATCTTACTGTAGCATATCAGCAGCAAATACTGCTTCAAAAGATCATTTGGGATGTGACTGTTCCAGAAAACAAATCTGTTGTTGATACTTTCATTGAAACCTGGCTGATGATGGAAAAGAAATAGTCTAACGTCTAGAAACAAAGCCACCTTCATACTCTGTCCTGCCAGCAATGGTAGCTGAATCTAGAGTTCAGAGATCTTTCTGCAGCTTTGTCTTCATGTCTTGCTGTTTCTGGATTCATTGCATTTCTGTTAATGTCAGAATCTCTCAAGAGTTGGGTCATATAGTCCTCTGCAAATACAAATAACCTTATGCTTAGTGTTTTATAATGGAGATTTTTAAGCACCTTGTAGAAATAACTTCAGAGTATAAGCAATCCCAACTGTAAACAGTTATTTTTGCTTAGTTTGGGGTTCATCCTTATTTAGAAAATGAGTAGGGAATCTGTTAACATGCCAAATGTAGTTATTTAAAGTAAAGAATTGAACAGATTATCTATGCTTTAGATCAGCCTAATCACATTTGCAGTGTTTTGAAACCATTGTCACCAACACTGTGTTTTTACAACACCGCCTCTTTATCRGGCAGTACAGGTAAAGCATTTGAAATCATACTGGAAAAAATTCTGTAGCTTGTCTTCTGGCATGATTGTGCCTGGTAGTGATTACATAGATTCACAGCAGAGATGTTGTCTGATGACAGGAGCGATATGAAGCAGTCATGCACCGAACCCTGGAACGAAGCCAGCGACTGGAAACACGACAGAAGAGATGGTCATGGGGAGGATCTGTAACTCCGGATTCAGAGAGCAAAGCAGGTGAGTAGCAAGACTAAATACAGCATATCACGGGTGAACTCTGGCAGGTATGGTGCTGTTTATGGGAACCTGAGCATCTTTTACCTCCCTTTGTTCTTGTAACAGCATCTACAAAGAGGTGTTGGGGGGCAAGGGTTGTACCTACACTCGCTCTGAAATGCTTTTCAGACCCTTGGATGCTTTGGCTTTGGGACATGCTAGACAGAAACCACGGGGAGATACGGCACCAGGCAGCATTGCATTGCCTGCCCCCAACCATCACATTAGGGGAGCTGTAATTTTGAATGTTAAAATAATTCTGATTCCTTCAGACACAGTACTGTTAATGTTTGCTTATGATATAAATTTTCACTGTGATATCTGCCCTTCCTGTGGTTTGGTAGAGAAATGCTGATTGCTCTTTGCCCTTGTGACTTAGCTTACAAATCTTCCTCTTCTACAGAACCACAGACTGCAGATGAAGGTGAAGCTGGCGGTATTGATTTCCAAAATGTTCTTTTTCTGTTTCATGTTCACTACTAACCTTTTAAATTCCAGTTCTTGTTTCTCTGATACTAAGGAAAACTATCCTCACATCTATCTTTTCCTGGATCTAGGCCAGCTGTGCGGTGAATGTGATTCCTAAGTGGAAAGCAGTCCCCTATGTCTTTAACTATCCCTCCTAGCTAATTAAACTACAGATTGTCATGGCATGCTGAGGGAATTTAGAGAGAAAGGATATTTTAAAGATGACTGGACACAGCATGAGAGAGGAGAAGAGATATTCCTAGCTGTGTATATTTTGAATATTGTGATCAAGTTTAAAAAAGAATTCCATCTTTGAAACTTTTTGCTGCTTCCTGATGTGCTGAAAGTCCTTTGCAGGGGTGGTTTTGTTTTGTTTTACCAGCAAATGAAGTAGCGGTTCTAAAATTAGGTGATACTTTGGTACATCTTTCTTAAAGGGAATGGCTTCTATGTGCAGTTTGATACTTTTTCCATGGAGGGCTCTGCAAAACTATACCAGGCCATTTATCTCAACGTAATTCTGTGTATTAAATACCATTTCATTGGATTTCTAGCACGTTGCACTGCAAAGATAGACATTTGTAGAAATTCTCTGGATTCTTGATAAATTCATCAAGTCCATACATTTAATATGTGATTTTTTTTTTTTTTTGTAGCTAGTTTAAGATGATAGCCTTCAGCAGAGACCCAGCTAAATCTAAATTCTCTAAATCTTTGTATGCTCTCAGCAGTACTAATTCAGTACAGCTGTCTTATAATGCTGACAATGTGAGACTTGAAAATGCAATGAAATTCTGACTGAGTATGATTTAACTACTYTGGTTTATTCTGGCAACACAGCAGAAGCATATGTGTTTTATTTAGCATCCCTTTTCCCTTTCTCTGCTGTGCATGAATCCTCATTCTTTTCCCAAATGAGCCAATTTGCCTGGATTGGTTTACCTGTTAAACATTTGTTCCTTGGGTGTGTGTATATAAATCTAATTACTGTTTTCCACATTACTGAGTAGTAGTCAAACTAACTTCTTCAGGAATAGCCTGTTTTCTAAAGCTCTTTTCCTTCTGAATTGCCCAAAGCTTTCAAGTTTGCAGAAGCTCTTTCATGACTGGAATAGGGAAAAAGTTCAGGCCATTTTATATTTACAAATATTTTGAGCAGAAGGCTTTGACTTTAAGTTCTCTAGGCAATTAATGCAAACTGAAATTTTCTGGGAAAAGTTCAAATAGCTGCATGAATATACTTTCTTCTGGAATGGTAACATATAGTATAAATTTTATATTTCAGTCAAAGGCATCAATTTTAGCCTATGCTCTTGCCGCTTTGCCCTGTTTCCCAATTAAAAGTAGACACTGATACTCCTTTTTTTCTCTGATACGTCTTTTCCTTTTTTTTTTTCTTGATTTTTTTAAATATTTTTTGAGTCTTCTAATGGAAATTTGATAACTTCTAGTCATTTGACTAAATAACACAGCCCAACTTAAGAACTTTTAAGCTTACTGAAAAATGCTTTGCTTACTGTAATCTTTCTCAAGGCAAGATTTAAGTTTTTGTCCTCTGGATCTCAGCAAGTAATAGACCAGTTTCAGTTTTCATGGAAACATCAAAATCCTAATTTGAAAACAAGAGAATTTTGTTTCAAAATGCCTCCATTATGTTTGAAGGCCTTTGATATCTGTGCAGTTGGTGTTGATGCAGCAGGCAGACTTTCTTCTGAGAGTAGCCACTAGAGGGTAGAATTTCCCTTTGAAAACATCAGACACAAGAATTAGCAGCTTCTTGATGTTTCTGCTCAGTTGCCTTCATTTGCAAAACATCCTTTTCTTTTTCTTAACTTAGAAAAATACCTACAAAGTTCAGATCTCCGTTTCTTAACCAGATTCAATAGGTGCCCCATTCTTGCCCTATTACCCTGTCGGGGCTGTTCTCTTAATTCCCCATACCAAGAGCTTTGCACTTCCTTGGCCTCAGCTCCAAAATCTGGTCACCACYTCACGAGGTTTTGCTTTTTTTTGCGAGGGAGCCTCAGTCGTGCTCCCAATGGGAGTCCTGTGGTGGTGCAGGAGTCTGGGCTGGGTACATATATCACARGCAGGGTGCAGAGGCAGGCTTGTCCATATGCATCCGTGTGCCCTGGCTGCTTCCACRTGGAGCTGCTACAGCATGCTAGCCAAAGGAAAAAGCAGCTGCCTCTGTGGTGAGTAATGCTGCCTTTTCCTTTGGCATTGCTTATGCACTAACGAGTTCACATTAATCACCTTTGCTGTCCAGTATGCCAACAGAATCAATTACTTCTGTTTGATATATAGTGTTTTTTTGTTTATTGTGCCGGTCTGCACTGCTTTGTGTGCACTGCCCTTCTCTGCTTATTGAGTTTCCATAGTAACAGGTACATGCTTTTCCAAGGCTTTCCCACTTTGGAATAGCTTACATCCTGAAGGAGTGTTTCTGAAGTTAAAAAGCAAATCTTCATGTGGCTTGAGRTAAACTAAGAATTTGAACATTACACTATGTGATTATACACATTCTAGTACAATTTTTTTAGAAGAATTGGAAAAATAGTAGGAAGCGTGAGCTTAAGGAATAACTTTAGAAATAATTTTCAGAAAAAAATTAAATGCCTTTACATGTTAGGAGCACAGGCTTTAAAAAATCTCTTGTGAATGCATGTGCACATGCATAAAGCCTTGACATGAGTCCAGCAAAATTAGCATGCCATTTCTTTCGACGTTATAACTTGTGCTGATTGGGTCGTGTTCAAAAGGCAAAAAAAAAAAAATCTGTATTTCTCATTAAGCAAAACTGGAAATAGCTTTCAGGATGTAAATACTTCCAGAGCTGTCCCAGAAGAATGTGTGAAAGATGCTTCCTCAGATGTGAAGGTGAGTTTTAAGCAAGCACTTCTTTACACAGCCAGCAAGCGGTCCACCTCCACAGCAAACCTCAAACAAACAGAAGCTGGGGTGAATAAACGTTTATCATCATCTGCAGCACTTCTAAACACTTCTGATCGAAGTAAGTGTTTGTGTTTCTGCTGGTAGCAGGTGAACTGCTCAACCTGCTGTTTGGGGAGGAGGCAGGAGGAGGAAGGATACTCCTCTTCCTCCCTAGCTGTATCTTTCACTTCATATGTTGATCTCAAACGCATTTCATGCAATTTGTTAATCCAGCTTGACTGTTCAGGGCTTTGACCCAGTTGATGTGATCTCTGTTAGAGGAGAAGAGTAACGGTAATGATTGTCGTTCTTCTTTTTTATTATTTTTATTTCTGTAATTGTTTTACTAAAGCCAAATCTTGCTGACTGATTGATTCATAAATCATTTCACATAAACCTCAGGGGTTTGCATGCCTTAAATCACACCCTAAAATTCCAGCAAGCTCAAAATAGTCCAAAAATATTGAAATTTGACTTGTTCTCTTGTACAATTTCAAATCTTTGATTGTCTTGGTGGAGGGAAATCAACTTAGTTGTGACATCTTTCTATTAGGCAGGTCCTGTGCTCTGTAGACACACACCTCCTTTCTAATATTAGAATTCACGTACAGAAGAATGCATGAAAATCTCTAACATCGGGTGGGTGGAGATTGTTTTGCCTTGACCTGGAATCACAGCATGATGATAGCCATAGAGTGCTACTCTGGCATAATTTCCTAGCCCATTAGAGTCGTGTGTTGTAAGAACTTGATGCTGATGGACAAATTRGCATTTCTTAAACTGTTAGTACATACTGCTGCTTCCAGACATTGTGGAGTGTGTCTTACTCTGCCAGTGGCTGTCAAGGAATAGAAATAGCCTTGAATCCAGCTATTCCTTGTGTCTTTTTTTTTAATGGGCTTCTGATAGTATTTTCACGCCAAAATTCCTCTGCCAATATTTTGTGGCTTCCAGTCTTGTTTTGAATTACAGCTTTAGGGTGGATGAACCTCCTGACTGCGTTGTGTCTTATAAAGTGTGCACCACCCAAATAGTTTTAACAAAGATCTAGAGAGATGGGGAAAATCTCTGCCCTTCCTGCTCTCTGGTAAATCTCTTCATGTGTGTGTCCTCTCTTCCTCCTCTCCTCTCCCCAACCCCATTTGTATAAAGTACCTAAAGAGAGGAAATGTGAAACAAAGCTTGTAGGATGCTACATCCAAGTTATTCTGTAAATCCTGACAATATGCCTTTTCTAAATCCAAAAAAAGGACAGAAACACAAGGAATTGCCCTAATCTACTTGTTAGGAAAGTTGAAATCATTTGTATTATCGTAGATCACTTTATTTTATCCTGAGATCTCCCTGTGGCAAAATTTCTCCAGTATTTTAGCAGCCTGCCCATATCCCAGAAGGGTTTGGGTTTTGTTTTTACCCCAAAGATGAAAAGCATTAATAGACTAAGAGCTGTTTTATTTGAAAACAAGTTCAGGCAGGACTTTGCTGCAGTGTTGTGTCAATCTATGACCTTTGATGAAATTTGCTGCACTGTAAAGATCACAGACTTGTACTCATACCCACTATGTCTAGTAAGGTATTCAGTAAGCATATATCTATACTGACATAGCTGCAGGGCAGTCTCTGTGACTCACTGGAGACTTCCTGTGATTTTAGATGATTTTTGTATATAATGTGTGTGCAAGGTTGAGCTGCAGGGTATGAGCCAGAGACAGGGCTATAAAGAACAAATTAAGCTGCTAACAGAGAAAGTAAGTCTTTRATTATCAACTAATTGGGATTGCTTTCAAACTTACTTCAAATTCCTTTGTGAATCTGTAGTCATTTTGGAGAAAAACAGTCTCAAATGGCCTGAAGTAGATGATGGGGTAGATGGAGTATTTCTTCAGCTGTGATCTGTGCCAGTTTTCAGATGACCACTTTGCTTATTGCTTTTTCTTGTTCAGAATGTGAGTAATGGCCTTTTTTAATTACTACATGTATTTAAAAGGACATAAAAAAAAGCTGGCCTTGGGGTCAAATGCAACCTGTCGACTAGCATCCTGTCTTGGTGATCAGTAACATATGTGAGGAAGGAGTATAAGAAATGGTACATATAGGGAGTGATTCTTTCCTGATACAGGTATCCTGCTTCTGAAGGCTTCATAAATCCGTGTACTGATTTGGCAAGTGGGGATGATGTTAGAAGGGGCTCTCTAGGCATTTGCACAAAATTAATCCATGCACTTTCATTTCCAGGTACCACAAAGAGAAGTGCCTCATTAAACAGACTGAATAACAAAGTTCCTCTACAGTCTCAGCAGTCAGCACCCAAAGGGTCACAGGTGGAACAGAAAGGTGCTAGAAACCAGCTTGTTTTGAGAATTGGGAAACARTAAATGGAATATCTGAAGCTCACTTTAAACCATGTCCCAGTTTTGATATAAATGTTATCACTCAGAATTTACTGCTGTGCTTGTGGTCCAGGCACTTGGACATAAATATCATTATGTACATTCCAGTATACTCAATAATTTAGTTTCTATAAACAAACCTTTTCCTCTGTAAAGTGGAAGGGTGGGAGGAGAAAACTAAACCATTTAGCTAGTGAGGAATTAGTTCTTCATAATGAAAGCTCAGGAGTTTTAGATGATTTTTTTTGACAAAAAGTATGAGAATAACAGTTCAGAACATCATATGTATAAATATCTTGTTAAAAATAATCTCGCTTACGCTTGGTCTCTAGGAGGAACAGAAAAGAAGAGGAGCACATCTTTGAATAGAATGAGTAGTAAACCCCCTTCCACTCCTGAACTAGAAAAAGTGAAAAAGGAAGAAAAAACAGGTGTTGTTTCGTAAAGCTAAATATTTCTCTTAAAAGCCGTTCACAGTAAAGTTTGGGTAGGCTAACTTTCGCTAATTTTCTTTGATTCTGATTTCTAGAACTTTGTAAGGACTATTAGCTACCTAGTGGCAAAGACAGAATTGTAAATGGTAAAGATTAAATTTCTTGTTTGAATAAAAATTCCTTTAAGTAGGACTTTTAATTAAATTGTGCTACAAGTAGGTAGCAAAATATCTCTCTGCTCAGAATAGAAGTATATTTAAAAGTTGACAGACTTGTATGCAACTATAGTAAAAATGTCACTATTTTATTCACATAGGCCAACCTTACACTTTTGCTTTTTAAGCTCTGTTTTATCATTCAGTTTAAAAGCAACTTCTCTGTTCCTGCTGCTGGCCTTAACCTTGTGCATGCAAATGAAGGAGGAAACCTGTTCTCACTTCAGTCTGTTTTCCATTCTTTGTATTCTCCACTGGATCACAAATGTCTCTTTTTTGGTAACGCTCCTTAAAGTTGAAGTCTAGCAACCTTTCTAGTATGTTTTTCCCTTTGAGTTAACCATTCTGAAACTTTCCTTTTCAGCAGCTCTTCTGAACACTCGAAACTACAGTATTCTGCTTCTGAACCTTTGCTGTATGGGAGAAAGACGGGTGCTGTCCATGTGAATTTGTTCAGCTGACACCTGACAATAACCATCTGCTTTGATTTGAGAGGCCTCTGTTTATTACAGAGCCTTTCATGCTGTCTAGAGAGGMAAGCTCTGCAGAGCTGGGTCAAAAATGTTTTGTATTTTGACTGGCTGCAGCATAAATCTGTGTTGTGTTTGTGTGTTAGTCCTTACCAACTAAAATGATTAGCAACCAATGGACAATCAGCACAACATTCGAGATTGCAAAGTTTATTTTTCCTCTGTTAATAGTTTGGATTTCCCCTTTCCATGACTTCAGTATTTTTTCCCTAAAATGCTATGATTTGCAACAATGCTCACAAACCTCCTTTGCTTTTTTGCTGCTTGTCTCTTCCATTACATGATTTCATGTTGGATCCTTTTTGATTTGTTCCCATCATTTAGCTCGTCGCTCCCAGGTCAGTCCTCTGGACAGTAGCGTAATCAGTCGCCTCCTCGCCCCCACACAGGCCTCCTTAGCTAGGAGTAAAAGTGCTGCTACATTATCGGCTGATGGACAAGATCCCTCAGGTAACAGGAGGGCAGTAAAGCTTGAAAGTTTTATTCAGTTGCTCTTCAAGCAGGCAACTTACATGATAGTCACTGTGCTGCTCTTCAGTGGAGATTGGACAATTAATATGTGGTTGCATATTATTTATGTGATATTTTCTTTGGTCAGCAATAACCAATTYGTGTGCTATGTTGCATGTTTACTTTTCAAGTCTGTAGAATAATACTAGCTTTTGAACTCCAGTGTCAGTTTGCCTGCTTTGCAGAGAACTGAATGCTGGTGTTTTGTGTTGTTTTCCTTAACTGACTCAGAGGTCTGCATTTGAGCATACCCTCAAATGAATCTGAGGCTTATTTAGTAGAGAACAGTTGTAGGAAATGGGGAGGAAAAATAAAGAGCCAAACATGACTTCAGAGGAGGCCAAAAGAAATAAGTGCAAGGCCCAGATTTCTTTATGGGGAGAAACTTGTAGGTACATGACAAAGGGGATGCTTTAACACTAAGTGCATGGAGCTCTGAGCCAGCTTCATTCAGGCTGCTTGTAGAAGCAGAGGTGTATTAGGAGAGAACGTGCTGTAGAGAAACCATGGCTGGGTCATATATTTTTATGTTAGTCCAAACTGAGCTGGTAGGTCACTCTAGCAGCTCATGTTGGTACTAGCAGAGGGATCTCTATAGCATCTTCYGTTGCAAACCCCAGCTATGTCCCATGTGTCTTACATGGGTAACTGAATGACTGCAAGAGTGCTCCAGAAAATATGTACCTTGCACCAGTGTGGAGTCTTCTCTCCTCTTCTTTTGCCTTTCAACCTGCATTCCCAGTTTTTCTTATTTCCTCTTAAGTATATTCCTTCATCTTCATTTTTTWAAAATCTTATGCCACTTGGTCCTTTTTGATAGCAGTAACATTTCTACACTGCTACCRTTACGTAGCCAATCCTTTACATTTTTGGTTTGTAGTCTGTGGTTGTTTTTTTCCCTCATCTATCTCTGTGCTGCTTTTATTTTACCATGAATATCTCAATTCGTGTCATGTGGGGAAATACCATCTTTTTCACTGTTACTGACAGCATGTGATTTATTCACGATTGCTGAGTTAAATATAACTTCTACATTTGTACCAGTTTATTTAGAGGTACTTTCTTCATTTCAGTAGACAGCAACCTGTGCTTTAGCACAAACAGTGCAGTTCTCCTTAAACAAATGCTATAAGTATAAAAATAAAATGTGTTTTCCATAAGAGTACAAAAATTGAGTGCTGGCATGTCAGAGTTTATCTGTCAGACTATAAAAAAAAAACAGGTACCTGGTTAGAGAAGTAGKTTTTTACAAGTATATATATTCAGCTGTGATTATCTTAAGAAATACAATCTCTTGCAGCATCTTAATATATACGAGATACGGACACTTAAGATAGCAAAGGTATTTTAGCTTGACAGTTAATTCTTTTCTGTTGATCATTTTCTCACACAGCTTCTATTTTGATTTGTTAATGTGGATAAAAGCCACAAATATGTAGTGATAAAGGGATTGGAAGGAAAAGTAGAATAAAATACTGTTACATAAAACTTATTCCACAGGAAGAGTGTGTAAAGTAATTCATAGATTCCTGTTGTAATGCTGCTTTGTAACCAGCCTTCGAAAGGAAGGATTTTTTCCTCCCTGAGCTTGRAGGAAACATTCTTAAACCACTCCCTATGACATGAAGAACTTSTAATGAGTGTTGCTAGGCCATTAAAGCTGTTCTGAAGTATTGGTGACTAGATGCAGCTTGGCTAAAGTGACCCTGACGTGTGGCAAACTTGGAGATTATTTGGAAAAGCATTTTATTTTTATATACTCCAAACTGCTGCTTTCAGAATGGTTTTATTCTTGGTGCTGTTGCTTCCAGAGTACTAATTGTGTGGTGGTGGTGTCTGTGTCCATGACCCATTGCAATGTGCACTTCCTGTGGTGTTTCTCTGTACGATTTCTAACACACACAATCTTTCTCTCTTTCTCCCTCTTCCTTTTTTCCTATTCTTATGCTGTGCACTTGTTTCTCGTTTTGTCTTGTCAAATTCCTAACTTTTATAGAATCTTACCTCTGTCCTCGTTCAGCTTCAGCCAGTTCCATCAATTCCCCAGTCCCAACTCCTAAGGTGCCCGTGCGCAGTCGTAGCATCGACAGATTGAAGTCCACTGTTTCTTCATCTGATGCAAGCTCACCTGACTCAACACAGGTTTGTTGAAAATCCACAAGATTTAATTTTGTAGTAATCTGGGGGTTTGGAACAGCTCAGAATGTGATCCTGTTCTGTTTTCTTACTGAGATATCCTGTAGCAGTTGTTTGAGGGGAAAAAAAAGCGTAGTACTAAAATTGGGTTTGAATAGTGTTATCATCGATCTCTCTAATATCTTAAAGACCTGTTGCTTGCTAGTTACAACTCTTGTATTTTTGATTATGTAACATATCTACTGAGTCTGTGCTCTAGAATACAAAGAAAATCTATATGCCATATAAAGAAGTTTTATGTTTATTGTGCTAATACGTCACCTATTTTTGGTCTCTAATGTATCCTAGAAAGTTAACATGGTTTTTTTATGGATTTTCTTAGAAGTCAGAGACAGAAAAGCTGTCCCCAGGTTCTAGGGTAAGACGTCCTCCGTCACCATCTCTGCCTGCCCGTAGAAGATCCCCTTCTCCCGCTAATTTGGTGAAGCGTCCTCCATCGCCTTCCACAGCTAGGTATGCATTGTGGTTAAATATTTTTTACTTTATTAGACCGAAATGAAGGTTACCTCCTGTCTCAGACAACTGTGATATTAGAACTCAGGCAGCCTACGCAAGGCCGTGTTCATGTACATAAGGACAATTCACTTTGTCCACTTTCTCTTCCATACTAGGGATGTGGTCTGTGCACTGAAGTAGGATGYATGCAAGATTTCACTTAAGTCAATCAAAAGGTATCAGTTTAGGAAACTCCTTGGATTGGGACCAAAGAGAGTTTAGTCTTGASACAGAGTAAATGGAGGTCTGTGCTAGCAGACCTGTTTTAAAGTTAGCCCCAAGGACTTAGTCCGGGTACCCCGAGCATTTTGAAATCCTGTGTTATGAGGAAGGAATTTGAGTGTGGCCTTATTTTTCAGTAAGGTACATAATATAAACTAACCAAAGTTGACCACTGTCTGGAGCATCTTGTTTGAGATTTTCAGYATTAGCCCTGAAGAATGTTCTTTATTTCAGCAGACAAAATCAGAAGACTCGCCCGCTTTCACCTAGCGTATCAAAACAGAGGCCACCATCTCCTACTCCAGTCTCCAAGCCAGCACCCATCCAACGCCAACCTCTCACACCAGGTGTAATAAACTTTACCAAAAAGAAAACTGAAGCAGAGAGCAAACCAAAGGATAAGAGCACAGAAGGAGTGGGGCAAGAGCAAGGTGCTTCACCAGCCTCGGACAAGGATGCAGTAGCAACTACCACAAAGACCAAAGAAGGTGAGTGTTTCTCAGTGTCTGATCTACTCCAGACTTCTCCAGCGTTCACTAGGAYGGGTGAAGTCAGACCAGTAGAGATTGGGATTTTTAAAAGTGAAAACTGTTCGTTGATAATTTCTTAGTTAAATGGGTAGGGGAAGGTTAGTACAGTAGTGAGCTTATTTCCTTTGGAGATCCAATATTTATGTCAGTAACTTTTAGTCTTCCTATTTACACTGTAGGTTAAGAAAGTAAACTCCTCTTTGCCTTTTGACTGCTGAAATTTCCTGTTYTCCTTTTGAACTTCTAGATATCCTAGCTGAGAGTTCTGCTAGCTTAGATTTGTAAAGCCAGTAAACATACAGATTTTTGTTCCAGTTGGTAGTTCTTAAAATTTTATACAAACTTGCTTGCAGGAAAAGGTCAGCTCTCATGCAACACAGCTTAAAAAACAGTTTTCAGAAAACTAGAAGTCTGCCTGAGTCTCAGTTCCAGTTAGTTGCTGTTTGCTGTCGCAGAAGAAAGTGGTCAGYGCACAGGCCATGCCCAGGACTGACCTTGGTGGATTGTGGAGGACTGTGTACCAGAGAAGCAATTAGTTTTCAGGTCATTTTGTGGTGCCAAGTAAACATGAGTGCCCATCCCTCATGCTGGGGAAGGCTGTCCGCCTTCTCCAGAACAGAATCTGGGAGAGTCTTCTGATGAGGACTTGCAGGCACTTCTMTGTGGAGAAGATATAGGGGAAACTCAGCAGCAAAAAGGGATCTCTGGAGTTGAAACTGCAGGCAGTGGGCAGTACTGAGGGCAGGTAAGTAGGCCTGCATGTTGCTGCATGTGCAATTCCTTTTGTGCATTCCTCAGCTGGTACAGTTGTCTGTGAGTTCTGTGACTCTTCTGAGACACTGCTCAATGTGGGATGTGAAGCACTTTTAGTCTGTTGTGAAGTACTTTTAGTCTGTCAAAGAACCCATTTATGGTGCAGCTCCTTGAGCATATGTTCCTCTAGAAGGAAGCTTACCTGTTCTAGTCACATGCCAGTATTTGTGTGAGGTTGCATATCCATTTTCAGTCATCATTCTTCCCTGCAGTCAGACATCCTTCTCTCCATGTGTGTACATTACTGTAATAAATGTCTTGCATGCTCAGAGGGCACAGTCATAATCAATGTTATCACTTTATGAAAGCTGCCATAACAATCTATTCTGTTCCTTTATCTTCCACTTGTTTGAGAACAGATGTCCTTGTTCCTTGGGTGCCTTACCTGTCTCTTCTCCACACTGACTTCTGGAACTATATTAATCCAATTTATCCTTTCCTTTTTATTCTGTTGCTGATACCTAAGCTGTTTGTCTTTGTGGTTTGTAATGATGCTCGATGAAGCTCTTTTTCCTTGGCATATACAAGGTAAAGAAATAGTGGCCATGTTGTTGAACCTAGAGATGATTTGGTTTATCTCTCTGAGCATTTTAATACAATGGAATATTGCTGAGTGTTCCTCATAATATATAAAAAGATTTTATATGAAATAAAAAGTTTMATGTATTTTTCAAGGCACATGGTGAGCAGGAAATAACGATGGACATCTGTGTAGGCATTTCACCCTGTGAGTTGGTGCAGTACCATATCCCATCAGCTTCTGAAAGCAAAGTGTACCAGCAAATGGCATGTGGCAAATCGGTGTCTAGGTCTTGTAGGTTCGATGTAATTGAGCTTTGCGTACTTAAATCTTCATTTCATCTCTTCTTTCTCAATCTGAACTTGATTGCCTCTTGCTGACAGACAGCAATCAAATCTCTTTGTCTTGTTTTCTGTGTGTCTTTGTACAAAAAAATGCCGTTCTGCAGTAAAACATTTTTTTATTTTTCAGTGGCTTGGAGCAGTTGTCATTTCTGGCAGCAGCCTTTCGCAGCTTCTCTGASAGTTAAAAGGCTTGTTTCAACTTAAAACATAAGAAATGCTCCTTCGTGAGCTCTCACCTTATGCATGATGATAGGTAATAAACAGAGATCTATCTTGGAGCCTCTTTTTTTCTTTTCTTTTTTTGTATCCAGCTAGAGAAGGCTTTGGAATAGGTAAATGTGCATAGGTGACCTGCGTTGAAATGAGTTAGAACCTTCTCACAATCAAAGAGATGACTCTGTACAGGCCTGCTTGTGTTTTTATAGTCAGAGAGAAAAATAACAGTCCAGGAAGGAACTGTCCCTGCCTTCTCACGCAGCAGATAACATGGAATATTTTTTTAAAGCCTYGGGGAAAAATTACAGCTTTTTGAAAGAAAAGAAGGATGTTCAGCTTTTACTTCTTCACATGTCTCAAGTCTTCTGCATCCTCCTTACTCACTCGGTAATCAAGAATGCCAGAGAGGACCTCACTAGAGGCAATCTCTTGTTCCCAGTGACTGCAAGTGCCTTGAGACTGCCTCTTTACTCTTAAAGCATAGGCTAGAATTAAGCAAGACCAACAGATCAGCTTTAAAATTATTCTGAGTTGTGTCTCTTACCTGTTTCTCTCTCTCCCCTCCCATCAAGAGATCATTTGACAAGACAACTGTTCTTGTCATCAGCAACAATACTAGAAGAACTAAGTAAATGGACAGCTGTATAAAATCCTGGCAGTGTTTTCCTTAGATGTCATTCCTTAGGAATCACATTGGGAAGGCCAATGCCTTGCCTTACGTACAAGGCCATGTGTGTGTTCCCCAGTGCAGCTTGTTCACCACAATTGGCAGAATTGTTTCCTTGTATTAAAGTGCTCAGAAGTTGACCATACAGTTACCAAATTGAACAGAAGCGGCATGATGGACTGAATTGTCACAGAATGTGCTTTCACAGCCAGATAAACTGGTGATTATTGGCACCCTAAGATTTCCTATGAATATAAAAGCTAGGTTGTTAATGTTGTGAAACTAGAAGAGAAATTTTAAACTAAGTATTTCTGCTTTGTGCTCATGGGTGTATGCTCACTTTTATTGGAAGGAAGAAAAATGTATTTTCTGAAGCTTTTTTTTTTAATGTTCTTTTAAGCATTCTAGAGTAAAAGTATCTTTTTAGAAATACGTATTATGGTAATTTTTGAACATCTTTACTTATATTGCCTGAAAAGTGGTTGAATCAGTGTAGCTGAAATAAGTTGTCATTCAATATCAGTGGGATACTGTGGCTTTGTGTTCATCTCTACAGGGCTACACCTTTGTATACAGGATACACTTGCTGCCTGATGAGTACTGATCTGGAAGATTACGGATCATTTGACCAAAAGAAAGATGTCATGTCGTATTTAAATTGCTGGAGCCTTTTTTAATAGCAATTTCTTTTAAACTTTGCAGAATCAGGTAGCAAAACTATGGCAGGGACCACCACAGCTGAAGAAGCTTCAAAAATCTTGGCAGAGAAACGACGTCTAGCACGGGAGCAAAGAGAGCGTGAAGACCAAGAAAGAATTCAGAGGCAGGAAGAGGAAAGGTAACAATTTGGGAGCAGGGAATGATGTCTATTCTGGAGGGGCATGGTTAGAGTGTATGCTTTAGATATGTATGTTCCCTAAGCATTAGCTTAAGATCCTGTAAATCTTATTGCAGTTCCTGAATAAGTTCAGACAGTTTCTGYGCTGTTCTGAATATTATGTAACATGAGATACTGTCTGTTTTGCAGACATTGGTATAAAGTTATCATAAACTTGTATATAGTCTTCTATGGATGTTTTGTCAGAAATGTGCTGCCATGCCCTTACTGGATGACGTCTGATCTGGCAGTGCACACCTCCTGTATGATATCAGTGGAACAAAGGCTATGGAAAAAAATCTTTCAGAAACAAAACCTAACTTATTTTGTGTGTGACAGTGATTGAAAGGTTCATTCATGTCATGGATGCTGATGGTATTTATTAAATAGTTATCTCTTAATCCTGTTCTCTGTCAAATATTCCATTATTGGAACAGATGGCATTGGACTTGACTTAATCAGCAAAGAGCATTTAAATACTTGCAGGTAGTTTCTTCCAAGTTGATTTTTTTTTTCTTACTTTAACTGGTCTAGATAGTGAGATTTGTAAATAGACACCAGAAAGTATCTTAATGCTTTTAAACTTTAACTTTCCTGCTTCCTAGTCTGTCATATGTGCATGTACACTTGAAAGTAATATTCAGTCAGTAATCTGTATTTTGGAAATGCTAGAATCAAAGAAGAAGAAATGGCCAAGAGAGCAATTGAAGAAAAAGCTCGACGGGAAGAGGAGCTTCGCAGACTGGAGGAAGAAAAAAGACTGGCTTATGAAGAGCAGCAGAGACAAGCTGAGGAGGAGAGGATTCGTCGAGAACAGGAGGAACAGGAAAAGCTTGCAGAGCTTCAGCAGCAGGTCTGCTTGTCTGTAGACTTCTCTGTATTCCTTGTGCAAGCTGTTGACRTGATTTCAAGGGGCTTGTCTTTTTTGTGTTCCATAGAACAGTTTTATSAAACCTCTGTCAGGAGCAGTATAAGCAGAGTTCATCCTGTGAATGATTGGAGATTGATTATGGAATGCCTTCAAGTCCTTTTCTTTGCCTTATTTTGTGTGATTTTTTTTTCCAGTATTTGATATATACAGGACTAGACAGAAGCAGATTTTTTAAATCCATCTGGGACACTATTTTGCATACAGGAGACAAGGAGAACTGTAACATTTTTGCACTGCTCTCATTTTCCCAACTTACTGCTATGAATTATAAGAGAGTGGTCGTTCTGGAAAAAGCAATCTAGCTTACTCTGATTTTGTTAAATTAAAGATCTGTAGTGTTTCCAAGCCTGCTGTTCCAGTTGCTATATATAGTCTTTCGCAACGGAGATCTGTTTACCTTTGCAAAGGCATTCTCTGCAAAGTGAAGGAAGTTGTGCTTTGCAGAAAGTGGACTTTTTTGAATTAGATTAATTTTGAAAATCAAAACAGTTTTACAGTGAAATTACTTGCATTTAAAGAGCTATATCTTAATGGATTTAATCCACATGTGTGTCTGAACTTTTGTTTACAAGGTTGCTTATGCTTATAAAAATAATTTAGACAGCATTCACTATCTCCTCCTCCTCTTTCCAGTCATACTGGAAAAGAAGAGTAAGATACAGCCAAGTGTATTGATAGTAATATCTGACTGCCAAGATTTTTTAAATGAACCTTGCCACATTTAGCATGTAATTGTTGTCCTGTTGCTTCATAAAATATCCTTCTTCAGCAAATCTTCATCTTAAGCTTTGAACCATGAATAACTCAACATCAACCAGAATATTTGCATAAGTCTAGTAGTCACACCCAGTTTTTCTTTTCAAATTATTTTTTTATTCTTTTAGTAATAGATAATTAGTGTCAGTAACAGGATAGCTGGCTTTTACCTGCAGTGTTTTATAATACTAAAAGAGTTATTGTCTGAGAGTCCTYTCTGTGTTGAACAAGGATCTTGCAAGAGCTCTGCTTTTGATTGTTGAGAATGTGAGGAGCATTTGATGCAATTTTCTTCGCATTATTTTCAGAGAGAAGAAGCTGAAGCAAAAGCCCAAGAAGAGGCTGAGAGACAGCGGCTGGAAAGAGAGAGGATTATGCAGCAAAATATGCAGGAAAGACTTGAAAGAAAAAAGGTGTGCTGAATTGCAAACAAACTAACAAAAAACATCTTGACCTAAAATAGTGGGATATTAGTATTAAAGCAAGCTGGTCTAAGTAAAGTGAAGGCATAAGCTGTCTCAGATGTATCTGAGTAGAAATAACATGTTTTGGGGGAGAAAAAATTCTGGCCTATGAGCTTTAGAAATTGCAAAATAGTACGTTTATGAAATATGAACATTTTTGATGATTGGTGAAAGTTTAAATCAGAAAGTTCTGTTTCACATATATTTTTTTTCCATTTTAACAGCGAATTGAAGAAATAATGAAAAGGACACGAAAATCGGATCAAAATGAATCAAAGGTACTTGTTTGTTTGGATCTATATAGTGACACACRGTAGGCTCATAGAGATCCACAGTCGTGACACACTTTCCTTCCTGGCTTCGTATATTTGATTAAAGCAAATCCTAGATGTTCCTTGGGCTTCTAGGTCTGTTAAAAATCCAGACTGAAGTCTCCATGTAGCATCAAGTCAGTAAATATGTAGAACATACCTTGAAGATGCAGAAAGAACGAACTCTGGAGTAGCTGTTATGTCAAAGGTGGTGGTGGCTCTTCCACATTTTCTGTCACAGACTCTGGCTTGGCTGGACTTGTTGTTGGGCAGCCTGAGAATTGAGTAGTGACTTTGCCAGTCCTATTAGTTGATGTTCTCTCCCAGGCAGGGTTGTGGCTTGTAGACTTGTGTGGCCTTCCTGCTGCTCATAAARCAGCCTTTGCAGGAGCTGCAACGGAGTCATTTCAGAATGCTAAACTGTAGTGAGCTGTTGTGAATAACACTTGGGGAATTCAGTTGCAGAATGAAGAGAAGTCTGCCTCCGAGGTCATTGAGGGAGAGGATATTGAAGAGGAGGAAGAGTTGGGTCTTGAGAAAATTGATCGACCAGGTAAATAACCTTACTGAATCAGATCTAAGTGTTTCAATGATGTTTAATCATTACTAAAAGTGTCACTGAGTATTGCAGTAGTCTGAGCACCCAAGTCCTAGAAGTGCCGTTAAGGCTCTCTGTTCAACTGTAGTATGGATCATTGCCTGTTYCATGCCTTTTTCCTTCAGGAAAGCTAAATGGTGTTGACTTACCCCAGGAAGCCAAGCAGGAGACAGAAAGTTGTTCGGAGATTGCATATAGCTTGACCTCTACAGAATCTGAGGTCCAAGATGGATCAGAGTTGAAACCCAATGAAGTATTTATGAATGGAAGTGACTTGAGAAGTGATGAGGGATCTCTACTAGTTGCTGAATTAAAGGATTCCAGGTGAGTCTGTGTACATGATTGTTTTGCTGTCAGAGCAATTATCTGTCATGGAAGAAATCCTTCTCTATACTTCAATAAAATTTAGTGTTACGTGTTGCATTGCATTAAGTTTTGCACCCTGCTAGCTGATGGTATTTCTGCGGCTTGCTCCAGACTTGCTATTAATTTTACTGCTTCTTGTAGAGGCAGTGAGTTCAGGATACTTAGTTAATGAGCGCCATCTTTAGATGGCACCTCATTAATAATAGTGGCTTTGCTAAAAATTGAGAGACAGAGTCAGCAACACACCAGTGTTACTGCTTGTAGAAAAAAGCATGTGTCTTGAAATCTTTTCCTATAAAATGACTGGCAGTTCATTTCCTTAAGAGAACATTAAGCAAAGGGGAGGTGGACAGGACTGAAAAGCAAGAATAACCTACAGAAAGCTCTTGAACAGTTTCAATTGTGCTGAAACACCAGATACAACACAAAAGCTTCCCTTAATGGGATTTTTTTTTGAAAAAGTATTTCAATTTTTATCTCTTTAGACATAAAGCATTTCTGTCTAATACTGGAAGAAATTGTCTTCTGATGCTTGTTCCAGTTGCTCATCTAAATGCTAATGATTTAGAAGAGGCAGTGTGGACTCTTTTAAAATGATGATAAATTAATTTCATTCCTCTAGTGAGGGAATACAGAGACATTTTCATGATTTTCTTAAGAATGAATGAAAACTAATCACTGATTTGGGTATAGATTGTGAATGTTTAACTTGTCTTCTGAGGCTTGATTTTGGTTCAAAAAAGTCTAACCAGAAAAAAAAAAATGAGTTGTTCAGTATTAAAAAAGGAATTTAATAGACTTTAAACTTGCTGTTTTTTGTATCAAATTTCTGGAGTAAGCCCTTACTTTGAGAGCTATTAATGTAGTAAGAAGTGTGTGTGCTGTTGAATCGTTCTTCCCCTCTGGCTCCTGGGAAGGACAGCTCATGTAACTGCTCTGAAGAATCTAAAGATTAAATATCCTGGTATTTTAATGAAATTATGCATTCTCTTTCTAGCCATCCTGCAAAAGAAATGGTTGCTGATGACTCAGTAATGTCGAGTGTTAATGAAGCTGTGCATACAGTTGGACTTATTCAGAATCTTAATGGAAAATCCAGTTCATGGACTTTTGAGGAGTTTATTGACGTTGGAATACATTCCAAGTCAACCAGGCTGAGTTCGGACAGCATCCCTGCTGATAACTGTAATCAAAACTTGAATGATGCTGCTACAATTCCTTCTAGTCCTAAATTGGTATTTGAGGAAGATGGTGCAGTGAATCCATTGACCAAACCTGTAGATGCTTCATCAGGTAATCCGAGCTGATTTCCTCCTTTATCTCCTCCTCTGGCTAGATAATTCACTTTCTTGCAATTTACTCTCCTTGCCTTAACTTCAGCTTATCATTTTCAAGGCACTTTTTTGCAGTGTGTAGGCTGGAAGAAAGCTCTTCCTTTAGTGCTTGTAACTTGCATTCTGTCAAAATGAGTCACCAGCTGATGCCTTTTAAGGGGCTTGSTTTATACTGTGGCTAAAGCCCAACATTAAGGCTTTTCCAAAGACACACCTGAATCCCTGTGAAGCTCCTGTAGCTCTCACCAGCACTGAAGCCCATCTCTTGTATTTTAGGCTTCTTCTGAAATGTCTTAAATGACACGTTACTTTTGAAGATACTAACAGTTTAAAAGGTGTCTGATGTAACTCTTTACAGATAAGACCTGGCCGCTTTCCCCCTTCTGCTCCTAGGCATGTTCTCTAACGTTTTGATACCGAGCTGTGTGGCCTTAGGAGGTTTCTTCAGGCTCTGGCAGGATCGTAGCTGTCCTTTCCACTTACTGTAGAATAGCCTTTCCCTTGACTAAAGGGTGTACCACCCTCCTTAAATTACACAAAGACGGTTTGGTTACATTTTGGGAGCAGTAATAGAGCTTCAGATGCAGTACTCTGAATTTTCTGCAAGATGCTGGGTTGCCTCCAAAGCCACTTCCAGTTGAGAGCCCAGAGGCTGATGCATACAGGCCAGAGGGGCTTCAGTATCTAGTTTCCATAAGACTTACCCATCTCTGGTGTTGGAGCTGAGCGGACGTGCTCACAGCAGGAGATCTCTGTCCGGGAGGTAAATGACTGCGTGAACAGTTGAAATGAATGATAGTGAAAAAAAACAAGACTTGCTCTCCAGTTTTCCTTCAAACCGTATGTAGCACTTTTTTGATTAAAGTGTAGCACTTTTCTAGACTGAACTGTTTCTTGAGTCTCCTCTGTCCCTGTGCGTCTTGCAAATTGTAGTGTGACTCATGGGCATAGCCTTCCTGAGCCCTTTCTTGAGGCYGGGCTATGGCGAGAGAACAACTTTGATATTGCTGGTCATGTTGTGTCTTCTGACCAAAATCATTAACTTGTTCATGGAAAGAAGTGTTACCTTTTAGTTTTGCACTTAAGTATRTTTTGAGATCATATTATGTAAGAATTATGTACACAGCTTCAGGAACTAATACTCATATATTAGAAAAATGCTCCTGTGCTGTTTTTTTTAAGTAACTGAGTAGTTCCRTGCCTGGATGTAGCTTGACATCAGTGATAGACTTGCGTGGAACACAAACAGTTGTGATGGTTAAATGTTTTCTTTTCTTTGCTCTTTGGACAGAACTGTGAACACTAGAGACCTGGAAATATTCTGATTGCACTTCAGTAATCCAGTGTTTTATCAAGTACCGAAGGCCTTGTTTTGAAAAGCTGCTTGTTTACCTTTACCCATCTTCAAGCTTGCAAAAAAAATAACAAAACACCAGGGGAGGGATAACAAAACTCCTAGATTTGCACCTTGAAAACATTTCAGGGAGACTCTTTTTGCTGTTGCTCCTTTTCCATTTGTTTAGCTAAATGTTGAATTGAGTTCCTTGTTTAACTATCACTTGATTCCCTTTTACAGACTTTCCATGAGCCTGTTTGGGTCCTTTTATTTTCATATCACTGTACTGTACAGCAGKGTGCCACTGGAGGCTTCCCAGTTAGCTACTGGCCACATTTTGCATAGTCCAAAAGAGGCACTTAATGAAATAAAAGACTCATTCAGTGCATGTTAAAACTGAACTCCATTTGTAACGGTCTTCTGAAAAACACTGTAGGCGTGTTGGTTCAAGAAGTATTTAAAAAGGCAAAATTATCTTCAATATTGAATTAGGTAGAAAAATTTCTTACTTCCTAACAAGAAAATGTTGGCAGTTTCAAAAAAGCAGTACTGTACCATGACTAATATGTTTTAATCTGTTGGAAAACATGRAAACGTTTTACAGCATATGCACTAATATGTTACAAAAATGTTGATGCCTGGACATGTTTGTCATAGTGCAGTTTAAAATTTGTCATTCTTTTAAAAGTGTTTTCCTTTGAATTACGTATTTAAGTTTATCTATACTCATGTAAGTATTATTTTATTGTGTACATAACAGTATTAGACCCTTGAAGTCATGTTTTGTTCATGTTAATTATTCAAGTGTTCCTGTGCTAGCTTTATAACAGTGGCTGCAAACTGCATATGCATTTCCCTTCCTCTAAAGTCTGCATTAAGTAATCTATTTAACCTCAACTCGCCTGCTTTTTCCAGCATGAAGAGATTAACTGTACATCTTCTGAAAAAAGGGCTGCTACTAAAAGTAGTAATGCAGCCTTCTTCTTATGTCTTCTGTAACAGAGAGATTGACTAAATGATTAAAGAATAGCTGTTTCAAATCCTGCTAAAAACYGTTGGCTCATACTTCAAGTCAAATGAATTATCCCGAATGGCAGCTGTGTTTTCAGTGTTCAGATGCAAATATTTTTGCTGGAACTAAATGTGTTCTTTCCTCAACGCCACGTTACAATAGGAACCCCCCTCCCCATCTTACCCTCAGCCTTTGCTACTCAGAATATGGTAGAACTGTTTTAGACTTAGAGCAGTGCCTTAGGTAAAAAGACAACTGTATTTTTATATGATAGCTGTTTCGTTCGGGCAGAGACAATCATTCTAACAAACGAGATGCTGATATTTTTTTTTTTCCTGTGCAGATACTATTTGTTGAAAGGTCTGTTACAGCTCTGTGTAAATATGTGCACACTGTTAAATAAACTTTGCAGTTGAACAATACTTTATTGCTGTAGTACTCAACATTACCTTACTGAGAGCCTCCACATCCTTGCTGTGCTGACCAGCCTTGAGGTGCCTTCACGTGCTGCTCCTACTGTTCCACACGTAGCACATTCCCAAAACAAGGAGCCTCTTTTGGAATTGTGTGACCAGAAAGGTAGCGGTATTAAGATACAGTGTTGTCCTGCCTATGAAATACTTGTTACTGCAGTATTCTTTAACTCACTTTTCACTTTAAGTCTTTCTCTTTTACACATACAACCAACATCTGTATGATTTAACATGCTCCAAGACTAGAGTGGAGCGGCGACTGTCAGGAATACAGCAAGATGCTGCCTTTGGTTTTACTTGGAAGAGTTGTTACTGTTAAGGAACATCTGGAACACCATCCAGTTTACGMATATTTCTGTTTGGAATCAGCTGGTGCTGTGGAAAAAAACCTTTAAACCAGAGTTCAGGTCAGTGAGACRGAGGTGGGTGTAGATAGTGGTTGTACCTGTCTTCTCCAAAGGACTCTTCTGCAGGGCCTGTTCCTAGCAGATGGTCCTGAGTCAGTTATAAAGGAAATGGAAAAGGTTTGTGGAAAGTGTTGGGTTGGTCCTCAGCTATTTAAGGGCACTGTGGCAGAACCTCTTACCTTGCCAGAGGAAGGACAGTGTCGGAATTGAGCTCAGAAGCTCAGCCCTAAGAGTTGTCTGTCATATGAGTTGGTGAAATGAAAAAACAGTTTTCCAGACTGTAAGACTCCAAACAAGCACTAGTCTTACTTTTATTAAATCATAAAACATATACTGATATGATAGGAGAGCTATGATTGCCTGAGCCTTTTTAAGGCACTTACAAATGCAAGTGCATTTTGCTMTAGTTGAAAGACTTACATCTTACTAATGGATTAGTAATTGCTTATAGAAAATCTAATTTAAACAGTGATGTAGAAAAAGCTGGTGAGCAAAACTTYTGAACACACCATGCAGAAATCCAAATTAAAACATTTTTATGGTAACTAACTAAAGCTAAAACATACTGTCAAAATGTTATTATCTGTAAGACAAAAATGTTATTATATGTAAGACAAAGCCCATTCCATATACTTGCTGCAACTCAATGGGGTAAGATAATGTAAAGTGTTTATTATTGACCTGTTGTTATGTGTGTGATATATGTAATGTACTGTAAATACATAAGAATAATCTTGCTCATCCAGGATGCAAGGTACTAGGGCTTGTGCATGCCTTGTCAAACCCGGTTCATTTAAATGCCAAGCTTAAATATACCAGATAAGTTYAAAACCAGCTGCTTTAGTTTAGGCTACACATGCAGAGTATATAATATTGGGATCTTTAAGGCTAAACTTAAAACTGAAGTGGCAGTTTAAGCCTTTACACTAACAGTTACTTGAAAGCAAAGTTAACTTTTTGCAACAGCATGTGTATTCTTACTGCAGGAGCTTCAAAAATCAGACCCGGTATGTTTAGGTTACTTTAGTTCTTTTCATGCTAAAATGAAAGAAAAAAGTTAAGTTTTTTTTAGCATGCAAAACCTGCTTCTTTACCAAGACTATTTGGGAAAGCAGGGCTGAAATCCATTTTACAGCAGTTGCTGTTTGCTCCTTACAGTCGTTTGGGACAGTCGGCACAGTAAATTTTTCCATTATGGCAAACAAAGCGCTTGTTGGCCAGACCACGGGCACACTTTGTGCATTTGAAACAATAATCGTGCCAGGATTCATCTTCATAGTTAACCACACTGGTTCCTCTTCCAAATCCTGCTAGGAGAGAAAACAATTATAGGACGGCGATAGTAGGTGTCCTTGGCCGGGTTAGTCCACCAACCTACCTGCTTTCCTTCTATACTAATATAACTGCTCTTAGAGAAACAGGCAACTGCTCAGTTTTCTGCTCAGGAGCACTGCTCTTAGAGAAACAGGCAACTTTCTGTGAGCTTGTCTACATTAAGGTTTTTCCTTTTCTCCAGGGAACAGTCAAATTGAAGGAGCGAGTAATAGAGCAAGGACAGGCTGGGCTAAACATCCAGCCACTTTGTTACAGGGTCAGATGCACGCAGAAGAGAAGGGAAAACTTGTGGAATTGGCAGGATGGTGCCTGTCTTTCAGGGGTTAGCTTTGGGATTTTCATATCTAATAACCATGACATGCAAAACGTATTAGAAGCAAAGCAAACATTATTCCAGGGCACTAAATAAAGCACGGTCCTTTTAGTCTTCTAGTTCTTAGATTTGGAAATCAGAAATGTTCCAGGTAGGGGAGATAAATTGGAAGAGGGCAAAATGTGAAGAGCTCAGGTAGTAGCTTGAGCCCTAGGAGTCCGTGACTTTATAATTAGCTCACATGTAAACAGCAGGAATAAGGTGGGAGATACTAGACCTGCTGCTGGTGTTAGTAACTTCTTGGGTACATGACTTTCACCCATCTCACTTCTGACCTTAACCACTAAGTGCCCACAAGCTGCATTTATTCCAACATACCTGTAATCGGATTCTTGCAGCCAGCACACTTCTTGGCAACGCACTCCTTGTAGCAGTCAACACAGTAAAACTGATCCTCTACAGCTGTGAAGCGCTTCCCACCCAGTTGCTTCTTGCAGTTGGAACAAATGAAGCACTCCGAGTGCCACGGCTGCTCCTGGTAAGTGAGACCTCCAGAAGTGATGGGCTAGGAGGCAAAGAGCAGATACACTGGGGTTCAGAATCAGTCAGGATGAAGAAAGGCAACATGTGCATGGAGTGTGTGATGGGAGAGTTTTGCCACTGTGAAGATCTTGTTTTGAAGGCTTTAATTAAATAGAGCAGCACTTGAGTTTCTGTGGCCTGTAATCCTACAGGTCCTGGGCTTTCATAATAGCTTATTATGCAGCAACTCTGCAAGTCAATGTTAATCAGTTGCAGAAGTTGTAAAACAGCTGTTTTCTATAAATCATTATTTTGCTGCTTGAATACACAGTAAGATGGTTTAAGCTCTCTAGGAGGTAGCCTTGTCATCCACCAAACAAGGGCAAGACTGGTGTTATCTTGATTTCAGTCTGTGGAAACCTCTTGGAACTCTGCACTGCTCCTGCTCAGCTGCCTTAATGTACAGTAACCTTTAGCTCCCTCGTGCTGTTAACCACATCATCTGCTCACACCAGTATCTCAGGAAAGAAAGTAGACAATGGCACAGCTATAGCATAATCTCTCTGCTAGTTTGAGAACCCTTCTAGCTTCTCACAGCCCTTATGGTAAGGGTTAGCAGCTTGAAAGCCAGCTGCCTTTGCAGATCAGAAGGACTTACATTCTTGCACTTAGCACAGGTCTTGGCAAACTTCTGCTCATGGCAGGAGACACAGTAGAAGTCATCGCCCTTGGGAAAGAAGCTCCCAGATCCAATCACTTTGTTGCACTGGCTGCAAGTGAAGCAGTCCTTATGCCAGACCATCTTCTTGTACTCAACGTTTTGGTCTCCTGGAACAGACAATGTCATTTGGGGTTTCAGACCTGTGGCAAACTCTTACTCTTTGCAATGATGTGASAGCAGATAAGACCTCAACTGGAATGAGAGAAAGACTGTTCCTTTCCACATCCCACTGCAGCTATCCAAAGAGGATTTTCTTAAAYGTTGATATGGGCAAGTGCCTCAGCATTTCTGAGAAGGGCACTGGAGGTTACACTCCTATAGAACAAACCTTTTGGTAGAAGTGATTTAAGACGATACACTATTCGCATGGGGATTAGCTGCAGGGCARCATTTTAGACAAGTGTCTAAATGAGCAAGAGAGCAACAGTTAAAACATGCACCATATTGTGCTGCAGGCTTTGAGCACAATGCCCAGGCACCTCMCAGCATCCTCCAGCACTGGTGAACCTCTGTGCAGTTGGAAGCGGAGCAGCTCACAGCAGTAGTGTCACTAGCTGCAGTAATAAGGTACCGTACCTGCAATAATAGGCTTGAAGCAGCCCTTACATCTCGGTGCGTCCTCAGTGGCAGTGCAGTTGCTGCACCAAACCTTGTTGTTCTCCCTCAGCATAAAGGGCTCGTTGACCAAGGAGGTGTAGCACTTGACGCAGCGGAAGCAGTTGTCGTGCCAGTAACGGTTCTTGAAATGCAGCTCCTGGAACAAGCGAGACGTGAGCCCTGAGGCCTGCTCTTTGAGCASCCCTTAAAAGAAGCTGTCATCTCATAAGCCTCAGCACCAAGGATAGATTTTATTCTCCCCATTACTTCCACATTCAGTGTTTTGGTGGTGCAAACAAAGGGAGGGACATTTAACAGAGTTCACTGACACAAGGAGCTTAAGATTAAGCCGTGAAGATTTTAAATCCAGGATCAAATGAATACTGAGTGTTTTAAGGTACCTGTGTTTCTGACACTGAGCGCTGAAGGTCTCAAGCATTGGGACAGCTCTAGTCCTCAGGTTCCCTCTAGTTAAGGTGAATTGTTACGGCCATAAACACAGAGCAATGAAGGCTTAACTACCACAAAAGCCAGACCAAGGAGCGTGTTCTCCAAGTGTCTGGCCTAAAGATGATTATTCTGTGAGTCCTGTACAGGCTGCAGTGCTGTCTTCAGGACAGCTTGATCTTTGCAGCAGCTCCTATGGCTGTAGCTAGATTGCGTGCAGTCCATCCTGAGCATCCCTTACTGCTTTACCCCAGAGCTTCTGGCTCTTCGCCCAAGGAACACGAGCAAGCACCGCCTGACTGATGGCCGGAGGCCCCACCATGCGACTTGCTCTTGTGCAGARCCTCACAGAGAGGCCAGAGCCAGAAAAATAGGAGGGAAATCATGTTGGGAGATCTGTCCCATCACAAAACGTAGAGCTGCAACCACCCATCCACATGCTCAGCACGCACCTTGGAGTCGGCGCCGATGGGCTTCTTGCACTCGATGCAGGTGTTGGCGCAGAACT